ATATATATATATATATATATATATATATATATATATGTATCTATTTGTTAAATTTATATTAAATTTAAGTAATTATCCTTTTGGGCTCACATTCGAAGCCTCAAGTCCACTCAAAATCTATAAGTAAAACATTTACACGGAACAAAGAAAACTCCAAGCCCTAATTTGCTGCAGCTATTTAGCAACCACTGTTGTCTCCTTCCCCAATCCAATCCAAATTTTCTTTTGATTTTGGAATCGCAGCTTATTTTTTCAATTTGTTATATTTTTGAGGCACTATAAATGTTTTTTTTAGCTTTTTGTTTGTTGGTTGTGGATGAATTGTTAGGGGCAAAGATGGCGGTGCTTTTTTATTTCTGACACCTCTTGTATGAGAAGAGCCTTGAAAACGTTCTTCCATGAGCACATTAAGCAAACCTCTGAGCCCCTCATATATTTTTTTTTCAATTTCAAATCACAAGAACATATAGTTTTCAAACTATATCTGTTTTTTCCTTTGTTGTTTTGCGTTCTGTAAATTTTTTAGTGGAAATTCAGGCAGCCCCCTTTTCTATAATTGATTGGAAGGGAGGTGTTAATCTGCTCGTAAATTGAATTTGTTTATGCTCTTCAGATTTGCTTAGATATATTAATATCTTTGAAGCTGGTCCAGTAAGCTTAAGCACAATTTCGATAATTGATTTTATTATCAGATTAATAATACATGGGTATAATATGATTGATTATGAATAATTTGAATGATTTAGGTTATGGATGTGATGAATATTTCCCCAGATAATCGAAGCTGAAATAACTGAGCGCTTTATAATGTATTTTCTCCTCTTGTGGGAAAATCCAAGCCAGATATTCTGATCCATATACTTTTAATATGATTATTTACGTTGTATGCATGTTTAGTGCTTGTTAAAATGCATCAATGATGTGCCATCAATGCTTATATACAATGATCTGATATGATTTGTATATTCTATTTTTGCTTCGTAATTTAGCTCTGTTTGAATGAGATTTAGAGATATTTTCATTGTTTAATTAATAGAAGTATGTATCACTTCTGAATTTATCCTCTTAATGCAAATTATGTCTTGCATGTTGAATACCTTTAATCATTTTGACATGGTCGACTGAAATGTACCACTTGAGAAGACAAAAAAAGTCGAGAAAATTGGTGAATCCCTTAACTAACGGATTCGCTCAAATTCAGTAGGAATACTCAACAAAGCATACTGTGATATATCATAAAAATGAGGCTTGTACTTGGAATCTCACACGGAGCTATGCTCAAACTCATCCTTGTTGATTACAAAGACTATAAGACATAGATGTCTCCAAAAATATCTAAGTTTCATGAGCTATCTTCTTTTGCTTTTTCCACTATATCTATTGAGTTTGAACTGTTTCGTAAGTTGGTGAAGGAAGCCACAACTTTTATTGTGTTATTAGGTTATACACTCTCCCTTTAAAAAAGAAAGACTTAGTTTGACTTGGAACGAAGTTTAAGAAATGAAAGAAGACTTTTGAGGCTTGTGGTTCTAAATTAAAGTTATGTCAAATGTATTAAAATATTTTTTAATCTTGTAGTTTTAAGCATGTCACGTGGAAAGTTAAAATTAAATTGTTGCCAATAAAGAAAAGGGATCATTCTGTTTTAAACAGACTAAAAAGGAAATGTGTACGTTAAGAATATTGTCAATCTTGCTAGTATGATCGAGGGTATTTGACATCCTAGATAGGATAGTGTCATTTTGTTATCAGGTGAGTCCAACGTCATACATTTAGGTGTTGAGTTTATTCGGGGTAGGGCATTGGTGTTGACTATTGTATCTAGGAATTCAAGGCAGTGCTAGCGGACATAGGTCCAGTCAAACTAGTCATGGAGAACGTACAAACTCTTTTGGTTTTTCAAAGTAAGGTTTAGGTCCTCGAGATTTCTGATTGTGATCGAGTTTGGGCACAAGACAAGGTATTTCCCTAAACGTGCCTCTTTTAGTATTTAATCGAGGTTAGAGATTTTTTCAGCGCTATGTCATTTCAGTAATTCGTACAGTGCTAGATGTGGTACAAAGGCTAGCTCAAGGCATTGCTCATGGTGGTTCTTAGGTTAGTGGTGATAACATAGTATGCCATGTTATACCGGTAGATCCTAGGTAGATGTCTCTAATGCAGTGATCACATGTATAGTCTCAGTTTGCAATCGTCTCACTACAATGTTATTTTGTTCCAAGTCTACCTACTCATGTGTCTACTTATTTTGTTGTTTTGATTTTGTGTGCGAGACCCTTGTAGTAAATACTACATGTTTGGTACAGAGATTAATGACGAATGGATTAATAATGTAGGCATAAATAATACATGGAATAGTATTATAGTGGCTAGGAGTGCAAGGGTTAGTTTTTATTAACTGTTTGGTTCATTACATCCCACTTAATCTTGTCTTTGGATTAAAAATTTTCAAAAAGATTCTTTTCAACTATACCCTTGAATCATTATTATTTTATGTAATTGGGCCAATGTAAATATATGTCGGACAATATTAAATTTTTGTGGCCTTCTAACTAGATAAAAAAATAATAATTTGTCACCATATTTGTTGTTTTTTCACTTGAATAATTTGAGGGTAAATAATTGTTTTCTTCATATATTAATCGGTCAAAAAACACTAATTTTCAATTTTTAAAAGATAGATCGTCTACTTTAAAATTAAAAGGATAGTAACAATAGGAAAATTGAATAAAACATTTATATTTAGAAATAAAAATTGCAAGTTGTAGTTTTTATCTCTATATGATTATATAAATTGTTCAAAATACAAATAATTAAAAACTACATATATATCAACAAATAATACATTCAATTATGATCACAAACGTTAGATCTGTTAATATGGGTCAGGCCCGTTGGGTCTAGCCTAACTCCGATTCGATAGGGCTAAAGAAAAAAGTTTTTTTAGCCCGACTTGAATAAGTCTGTCGATTTGTTGGATTTAAAAAATATGGATAAGGCTGGCCCGTGAGCCAAATAAAAATTAACTAAATGAATAAATAGAGTATTAAAATAACAAGATTCTAAACTCAAAATCAGTTTAAAGTTTGGATAATTATTATTTAAGTACAAATTATATTTATAAAATATGTATTACATAACACAAAAAATTCCTAAAATTTCTAGTAATCACTACATAGGTCGTAAGCTTATGGAATATTTTCATAGTTTTTGTGTTTTATTATTATCATTGGAAAACAATTAGGTTTATATTTTTATTTATTTATTTATGTTTTTACTTGAAATCAAACTTAATAAATATTGTAATGATAACTTTATCTGTGGGTTTGATCAATAAATAGTAACACTAACACCAAGTAATATTATCTTCTCGATATTTATGATAATATTTTTAAATTATAATTTAATTTTAAAAAAATATAAAAAATATATTTTTACGTAAAGAGGGTTGACCAAGCAAGCCCGTACTCCACGTATTTGTGGGCTGAGCAGATCATTTTTCGGCCCACAGCAAAAATGGACTAGCCCGGCCTAACCCGTCAAATTTCAAAGCTTGTATCGGTAAACGAAATTGGATGTGTCAGCTCTGTCACGACACAAAAGTCACGAGTCGTGATGGCACCTATGTTCCCAACCAATAGGTAAGCCAACGAACATATTTAACAAACTTAACTAACTAATTAGTGAAAAGACCACAATTAACAAAATCTCCAACACTGAGTTCCTTATAAGTACAAATGCGAAAAACTGAAAGAAATACTACCCAAGAGTTGGTGTCATAAGTGCAAGATCTTCTAGAATACAATGCAAGTCTGAAACTAAAATGACAAATCTAACATAAGGGATATCCTGTCTGAATACTGAATAGCAGAATACGTAAAAGATAGAGGGATATGTGGGCCACGGAACAACCAAGCAGCTCACCACAACTCCAAGACACTCACAAACTCAGACTCAAACTTCTCCTCGAGATGTGCTCCTACTCGGAATCGAATCTGCACCACAAATAGTGCAACAAATGTAGTATGAGCACAAAACCACGTGTACCCAGTATGTCTCATTGACCGACAATGAAGAAGTAGTGACGGGAGTTTATATAAGAAAATAAATTCTTAACTTATACAAGTATATATATATATATACACCTACTATTTTAGTTTTACCAATAAAAGAAATCAACATAAAGTACTTTTCAAACACCAAACGAAACATATAATCATCAAGAATGAATGATGTGATGAAATGATGCAATAAGATACCATGTAATGATATGTCTTAGACTACCCAGTACTCACTCAACCGTATATACATGATACTCCTCGGAAATACATCGAGAGCTCATGACCCATGGGGGACTCGCAAGGTCCATATACCGACACGGACGATCTCTACGTGTCTGGGTGGACGATCTCAACGCACCATCATAATATCAACAATTTCCGCAAGGACGGTCTCCACGTGCCCAAATTACAATCTTAACATCTTATCATCCCCAGCACGGACAATCTCCACGTGCCCATCTTATACTTAATCTCATGTCAATGCATGTATACAATATTATTTCAAAATAAAGGGATGATGATGCATCTCACTCAATCAATATCGACATAATACACAACCACCTCCATTATCACAACTATACGGGTGTAAAAAAATAATAAAACACAATCACACAAAAATTTCAAGTCAATAATATATCATCCAATGCCCATATGCTTTGGAAAATTCTCAAATTACAATCCACATTTTATAGTAGAAACTTTCCGTTTTATAACACCGATACTCGTACCAATGCCCGTCACACCATTGATACGAGACACCCATCTTTCACCCTTACCCCTTTGTCTATTTTCATTTTTAATCTTTATTTAGGAAAACGTCCTTCAACAAGTCTAAAAAGTCTTAACATACCTTAGATGCCGAACTTGTGCCATGAATCTTTTAAGATTTTTTTCTTTCCTTTTCGCAAGGTTTGAGAATGTTCCCAATCTACCAATTATGCAATATTTGTAAGTAAGCAATTTTTGTAAACATTCAAATTATTATATGTCTATCATAGACGCTAAAACTCACTCATATTTCCAACCAAACTCCAAATCTTGATATACAGTGGTATGCCAAATTTTTCATACTTGCTAAATTGCAAGCCAAGAACTTAACTCTAACCTCTTCAAATGGACTAAAATTCAATGTTAGATCATATAAACTAACACCTAATAATTAATTACCTATCTCAATATATCAAACTTAAATCTTTATTTGATAAATAAAAAAAACATCTTAAAAATATCAACAGTGAAGTGCACTGTTAACACGACCTTTGTTTCTTTTTCTCTTTTTTTTCAATATGTTATGTACTATATCTAATTCTAATAGAAAACATACCAAATGCCAATCATTGGCATTGTTGCCTAATGATTGGCTTA